AAATTCAATAATTGATTAGCAGTTATTAATTAAACCAGCGATTAGTTTAAATCAAATTAAAAAAAATTCATATAATTGTTATTAACTATCGATGATTAATTTAATTTAAGTTTCTATACAATTTTATTTAGGATAAACAATAATATAATATATATATACATCTAACTTTTTTGATCTCTATTCATTAATTCACTTATTTGCAACGAAAAGAATGTTTATTAATAAATGTAATTTATTTTTTAATGTTCTAAGAAACTTATTAGGTGAATTTAAATTTATATTTCATGATAGCATAAACACGAATAACGAATCAAAATTTGTTACAATAGTGACATCTAGTGTGTATGAAATATTCGGTTATAGTTCATAAAATGTATAATTTAATAGTTAATCTTAAAAACAGTTTTTTTATAACAAAAACTTACAATTAAAGATTAGATTAAAATGAAATCGATTAGTGATTAATTTCATGTCGCCAAAAAATTTAAAATAGTTGAAATTTAAAAGTAAGTAATTATTTAGATTATTCTATTAAAAAGTTGTAATTGACAAAATATATATATGATAAATTCTTGTTTATATTATTTATAATTTTTTAAACTTCCGTTTCTTATGGTTTTTAAGATTATGGAATTATATACATACATCCATTTTTCAAAAAAACTTAATTATATATCTTTATAATAAAATATTTTATCATAAACGTTCAAATATTTCAATGATACATTATATTTAATTCTTCTGAAATATATTCGTTAATTTTTATGCTTTAGAATTCAAATATTATTATTAATATAATCATACATTAATTGAGAAACAAAAATTTTGCATGGTACAATTCATAATCATATTATTTTTTATTACTTAGGCCTTTCTCTAATATTTTTATCTATGTCAATTTTTTATACTTATGCTAGATCAAATAATTATAACTACCAATAATTGATTTTGAAAAATTATATATATGTTATATATTATATATATATATAATATATATATATACATATTTATAACGTATGGATAACTTATATCTTGTAACAACTAAATTGTAAATTCAGAGAAATAAAGGAATCGTTATGATTAATCGCTAAAATAATTTTTTTAAAATTATTCGTTAGTGAATTAATAGCAGTAATTAAATAAACTAAATTAAATTAAATAAATAGCAAAAACAACAAGATATACCATCATACAGAACTATAATGATTATTACAAGATAAATATATGTATATTATATCCATATTATATCCAATATTTTTTATCTTTGAAAATTAATACAAATAAGATAAATTCCGATCAAATAATTTATTTAGATATATTATTTTATATTATTTTATTTAATTTTATTTTTTGAGAAATATTATTTTTTTATATTTGTTATTAATCTTATTGAAAATTTATTTAAAAAAAAGATTTTTATAATCAAATTTTAATAAACATGATTACTTATTTTAAAATTAGAATTGCTTAAAAATTACATATACGTTTCTTTTTTTTGCCGTTATTTTTTTAATTATATTATATTATATAATATATTAAAATTATATTATATAATATTATTTAATTATAATATGGTAAAAAATAAAATATTTCTTTTTTTTTCTAAAAATAAAAAGAAAAAATAATAATAGCATAATAATACTTGTTATGATAATACATATTATGATAATATAAATAATTTTGCTTATAGCTTTAAAATAAACTTTACAAATGAAATTAATATTTTTTTTTTTTTACAAATATTTTCAAAGTAATTAGATTCAATTTTTTTTTTTATAGTAACCTTGATCTTCAAATGGTTGTTATGGAAACAAGCTCTTTGAAATAGTGATATTAAGTCATTTGAAGAAATGAGAATTTTGATAAAAAATACAAATTAAATAATATTATTTTGCAATCTACATTCATTATTTTATTTTTAAATTGTAACTTAATACAGTAATAGTCCCACCGTCAAACTGTCTCACAGCGGAGAGTACGTATTCTTAAAATAATTTTTCTAACATAACCTATTTCAATAATGTTAGAAAATATTTATTTGTTTTAGAAAAGAAAGAAATCGAGGCAGCATGCCAGAACCTGTACATCATCAAATAAATGCTGCTCGTAAAACATTCCAAACACTTTATCAAATTTCAAAGTTATTAAATACAAATTTGGATCCAACAACATTAAGTATATGTATTCGATTATGTGAAAATGGTGTAAATCCATATGCACTTGCAAATGTGATAAAAGAATTACAAAGAGAAGTGAGAGCTATGGATAGCATTAATCAACTAGATTCTTCTACTAGCAAATCTAGTTTAAATAAATAATTAATCATTTATTATTCATATACATATATTGATTATATAATAATTTTACATAATTTAATGAGTGAAATGAAATCTAATAATTTATCATTTTTTATATATATGCTGATAATATGTGATTAACAATGAAATATTTAATTGTTTTTAATATTACTTATAAGATTATCGATTGTTATTCTCTCTATTATCTTTAATGTTAATAATGAACTACTATTAATTTTTTTTTCTTATTTAAAATATATTTTTAAAATTTGTAATTATTTTAATAAAATCAATAAAAATATAATTAACAAATAATATCTGTGATTATATGAAAAATTAATTTTTTTATAATAATCATAAATTTTTTCTTTTATAGGATAAATCATAATTATTTTGTGACTTTATGTATATAATTCGTAAATTTTAGAGATTTTAGAGATTATTTTATTAAGATATTAAAGTAAAAAAATATTTAAATACAAATAATTTAAATTGTATATATTTATAACAAAAAAAAAAGATTGTATAAAAAATTGTTCTTATTTGCATATATATATATATATATATATATATA